CTTGGAGTCTTGGAAGAGTCTTGATGGATCTTGAATTATCCTTCCTTGGCTTATCTTGGACTCTTGGCCTTATCCTAGGAGCTGCCGCCCCTAGGAGTGAGATGGGCCTTGGGATGGGCCTCCATCAACTTGGCCCATTGTGGGCCCACAGGCTGTTCGGTGCCATGTGTTGGGCCATGCCAGCATGTGGACTGTGGGCAGCATGACACGCATAGTCGTGCTGTGCCGTGCCAGCCCATGGACCTGGAACCCCCAACCCAGCAGTCCAGCACAGCCTGCGCGCCGTCGTGCCGGGCCACGGGCGACACGGCCCGATTTACACAAGAGTCAGATGACCAGACCCAAAATAAGAAACAGAAAGAACAAAAAACCAGCCCCCAAGCAGCAGTTACAAGTTAGGAAAGAGTCCCAACTCCTCATAATAGATTTCCTCTTTCTAACCCTTGTCCAGCCAAACCATCTGCCAACTCATTTGCAGATCTGTAAACCCATTGAACAGCTACAACTCTGTTTCTTTTGAGTTCAGAGATCTCTCTCAGAATATGTCTATACTGCCAAGGGCACCTCTCTGCTTGCCTAACCCAATGCACCACCACTTTTAGAGTCCCCTTCAACAATGATGTTGGTGTAACTGTTCCTCTTTGCCAGCTTTAGGCCCTGTAGGACGTCTAGAACTTTTGCTCTAATTGCATTACCATGGCCAGCTGGACAGAAAGTAGAACAAGGATGCTCCCATCAGCATTTCTGAAAACTCCTCCTATAGCAGCCACAAAAGGGCAAGAGATAAGTATGTGAAAAGAAGTTTCCCCATTCGCATTGCAGAGAAGACAGACGTGAGGAGATAAGCACCAATTGGGTCGTTTCTTTTGAAGGGTCTCACAAGTGTTTATTTTTTAGTGAAAAACCTCCCAGCAGAAAGCCCTCACCTTGGGTGGAACAAATCCACTCCACACCTCTTCCACTGGAAAAGTAGGGGCAGAGCCACAAGAGGAAAGGGACTCAAAGGACGAACAAGAAAAGAGACCAGAAGAACAAGGGAGTGAAAGTCTGGCATCAAGCTTTGAAGATCCAAAAAAACACCTTCCAAAGAGTCTAATAACTCTATGCACAGCCACAAGGGAATTTCCACTTCCCCTCCAGTTATGTCTAAACCCAAAATTCGACGAAAGCCCACTGGAGGAAAAGGACACGAACTGAGAGAGTTTTATTTTTAAAAGAAAGCAAGTACAACAAGGGGAGTTTTTCTTCTAAAGGAGCACTACCCCACCACAGATACTTTGAACCTTGACTGAAAATGGCCTTTTTATTGTGTGCAATGGGGAAGGGAATCAACATTTTCAGGCTTCTGAAGGTCTTACTTGTCTATGAGAAATAAAACCTGGGTTGTCTACTTGTCTTTGTATTTCAGTTGCAACAAGAATAAAGAGAACACTGAAGAACATGATGACTGATGAGTCATCTATTACTACTTATGTCAATGACAAATATCTTAAAAGTTCTACAGTTACAACAATTAGAACAAGTAATGTGAGAATAATTAGGTTTCAATATCATACCAAGTAATTTGTCTCCTTGTCCTTGTCCACGGCATTCAGGAGATACAGCAATAGCAGCAACTTCTCCACACTTCTCATTAAAGAAAGGGAAAAGGGCAGCACAAGCAATAATTTGACCTTCTCTCTCCACAATGATGAATGAATCTAATTCTTTAAGTAGCTAAAATATCAAAAGGACAACAATCTCTTAGTTCTAATTCCATAAAAAGACAGTAAGCAAGGTGGCAGGATGAAGTTTATAGTTACTTATTTCATAAAATAAACATAGAAGAGTAAAGAATCAAAAGTATAGGACGGACCTCCTCATCAGTTCTTTGAACCAATGTGCCACGCTCTATTAAGGGTTGCATAATTTGTTTAATTCCAGGAAGATCTGTCACCTTAGCTGGCCGTGCTCCCTCGTAAAGGTCACTGAAAAGGGTAACACATAGTCAAAAACATATGGTTATAAAAATTTGAGCATCATAACATAGTAAAATACAAGGCAATCTCAATGTCATTTTACATGCTTCAGCAACAGCAAACAAGTTTATAGATCCCAGGATTGGAAAATGTTGCCAGAGGTGAAGCCCAGGTACAAGGTGGTTGGTTACTCACATCCAAGGTATGGCCAAGATCACTAGATTTTTTTCTGTGATTGATATTCACTAGGCTAGGTTTGTCAAACTAGGTGATGACCTATTGTTGCATGTAACCACATAGATAACTAACAGGCCATTTGATAACAGTTTAAGTGGCTGAACTGAATGACTTCTTGCTTTGTCTTTTAGCAAATGACAGATTCTTTACAAAAGAGGCAATTGATACTAATGGCAAAATGTGAAAGGTGGTTGGAGAAACTTGAAAACCCCAAGCAAGGTTTATGACATTTACCGAAACCAGAAATTAAATTCTTAGGAATTCATAATGACAGCGTACAATAAAAAATGAAGGATTTGTGCAGTAGAGGGGAATATAAGTTGCTAATATCAGTATCTTAGCCTGTCAACACATGTACAATGTGCATGTTGGATATCTAACGTATGATAGGTAGCAACCATCTGAGCTATAAAAAATACAGGGAAAATAAGAAACAAACATTTAAAAGCCAAGGAAATAATACATAAAACAAGGCAGAATCCATGAGAAGTTATATTACTGATATATACGAGTTCACATGAAAGGACTACTTACCTAGCCACCATTGTCCCCATCCCATCTCTTTGAAATAACTCCAACAATAAAACTCCACCAATGGTGCCATCTAATAGATGTACTCTTTGAACGCCTCCCTAATAGAAATTACAAGCAAAAATGCAAGACATTCAAAATTTGAAGCTCAGTTAATTATAATAACAAAAAAACGCATGGTATTCAATTTGCAACTCAGTCCAAATATGTCTGCACATATGTATCATAGGAAGAAATTTACTAAGAAGTGCCAAACTTAGGTACACATTTCTCAGAAGAAACATGATTTAGTTGAATGAAGAGATCTTGCATGAATACAAGATTTATCAGTTACAACAAAGTAAACTTTGCAAGGAAAACCAACAACCATATGTTACTAGTACTGCTTATTTCCAAGTGAAATAAATCTATGGATGAAAAAGGAAACTACATAAATCCCTTACAAATTAGGACTGAATGCTTACCAATTAAAAAAAAATAGACTAATAAAGATTGGCTGCTTATACTTCAAAACCAACTTCTTAATATCCTTGTTGACATTTCAATAAAGCCCACTCTATTAGAGCAATTCTTGACTTGATTCCAAGTAGGGATGATTCCAAAGACATTTATGTAGGCCAAGTGATCAGAGAATGGCAGTTCATTTCAAGATATTCAATGTATCAAAGGAGATTGTGCATACTATTATAATCTCATCACTGTAGTCTTATGTTGTTCTTTGGCTTCTCCAATGAAGTAATTATTAGCTTCTTTTAACATTTATCAAAGAAAAACATTAGCTTCTTTTAACAAAGAGGGGATTCCAGGACTTTACCACCAATAACATTATCAGGGCAAGGTCAAAATAGTGGCCAGTAGTGATTTATTATTAGAAATTGCAAATATGAAAATTTCTAATTTCTCACAAATTTCCTATTTTTATGGAATATTTACTATATAAAATCTTATTTTTAATATTTATTAATAAAAAATCCATGCTTAGGAGCTCACTTTCCAGTTAACACCTTATGCCTTAGAATGACAGAATGCCTTGCATCACACCAATACGTTTTAAAACATCAGTTAGACAGGTATAATGTTTTATTGATGCAACAAAGTTGAACTCATGGTCTAAATTTGGAGTAACATCTATTGTTTTGATGCAAGACATGACATATACAGATTAAGATATGCTTTGACCTGCAACCAAAAAATGCAATAAACTAAAATCTTTAACTGTACACTTTTTATTGGTAAATCTTTAATTGATATTAAAAAATTAAAAAAAAGGGTCAAAGCATATAAAATTTGGGGATGGGCCCATTCCCCAGTACCAATACTCCAGTCTCAAGTGTGTACACTTAAAATACCATTACATTGAAATGTATTTATAGCCTTCATGTATAAACTTAAAAAAAAAAAAAGACAAAAGAAAACCACATATTAAACATTATATATTTTCAGTTGCAAAATACATTGTAATAATTATAGTGAAAAGGGATCCATGTAGTGTGTTACTAAAGCCTTACTCTGCAAACAAAAGCTGCAGCAGCCAACTCTGACAGGTAACCATTTAATCTACTCAAACGTTCCTCACCTCCAATAGCAAATCCTTGTTCACCCGACCATAACCCATTTCCATTGTCAAAACCAACACCATTCTGAAATGTTATATTGTACTGTTTGCTTGAGTGCATTGCATACTGAGGGGGGCTATTGCCATTGGAATCAGGAGAGCTATTGCATCCAGAATAAGTGGCACCATCATCAACAGCCTTGACATAATTAGCAGCTATTTCACTTTGTTTAGCTCTCTCTCTGATCAACAAGTCTGCATCTTGAAGAGTCAAGAAACGAATGAGCCGCCCGTTTTCATCTAGAATTGGACCATCCACAATGCAGATAAGCTTCTCTGCTCCAATAGCTAAGGCACAAGCAGTAGCAACTTCATATGTGCTGCAACACTCAAAAGGTTAAAGCATCAAACACTCTCTAACCTTGTGATTGAGCACCAAGGCAATGAACACTTGGAATTGTAAATTTTATTCTTATAACATCAGAAATTTTGACACGTATGACAGCTCGAAGGTGCAGAAATGAGTACATAGAGTATAACAAAATAGCATTAAATGTCAAGAGATATTAAGGATTATGTATCTACCTCAGCAATTCACCTAATTATTTTCAAACATGAAATAATGTGGGAGTTGCAAAAACTTTTCAAGATAACCAAGAATTTTCAGATATTTCAGTCCCAAAAATACAGTAATTTAAATTAACCTTCAGCAACTCCATTAAGTTTAAAATCAGCAATCCATCAAAATGGTACTTTAGACATTTTAGGTTATTACAGAGACAAAAATGGTTTACCTCTTATTGTCACCACCTTGTATCTTCCCCCACCAACAAAAAAAGAGAAGTCAGTGTCCCTATTACACTGGACCCAACTAAAGCAAAATTAACCTGAAACTTTTTTCCTGTTGTTTGTGTGCGACATGTTACTATGTTTGTGGTCTAGGAAATAATAATAAAATATTTTCCCTTTTATGATGGACATATTAGAACAAAATAGCTTAGAATTTTTTTATAGGTAATTGTTTAGAATCTTATCAAGATGTAGCAATGAGGTCAGCACCCTATATTTGGGTGGTTGACAGTTGTGTTTGTGTTTTAATTATCTTCAATGAAAGTAACCGTTTCCTATCAAAAAGAAATATCAAGATGTAAAAATGAGGGTGGACCTGGGTTCAAATCTTGGAAATAGCCTCTCTATGTTATCTGCAGGGGCAAGGCTGCATAAATCTGTCCCTCCCCAGACCCTACATTGGCAAGAGCATTGTGAACTGGGCTGCCCTTTTTTATGTAAAAAAGAATGATGTAATATAGTATGTGCCTAGCACCTCTTAGAAAGTTCAGGCCAGCTCTTTACTGCCTAACCCATTGCTCTCACACTTCTTTTTTTCTTTTACACTCAATAGTCAATAATCAAACCCAATACAACTGATTACTTTGTACTCTTTGTCTTGCTATTGCATCAACCAGACTGTTCACTGATATTTGTACCCAAGAGAAGGGATATTCTCAATTGCATAAATAACTCAGAATTAATTAATTGTAGTTTCTAAATTATTCATTTTTCTTGGCTAAATCTCATTCAATGACCTCCAATGGAGCATGCACCTGGCCCAAGGCATGGGAAAACACATCGCAACCCAATAGGCCTTGTGAAACTCACATTCAAGTAGCACCCATGGTTCAAAGAATCAATACACCTTTGTGTATCAGCAGAGGTGTATCAGTACTTTAAACCATACTCTTTTTTTTTCAGTTTTTTCAAGCTTCAGTTTCAAACATATTTTATATAATATTTTATATAATTATTCAAAAAAATGGGTTCACAAAAACACCTGTAAGCAGGGAATTTTGTGGATGACTAACACTAGGTATAAAAAAAGTAAAAAAGGAAATGATTATCACTCAAGGACAATTTGGTCCACTCAGATCAATAATGTTATTGGGGTTAACCCGTTGAGAGTTACTAATTTCAAGGAAGATTTAGGGGGGGAGGGGGGTTGTGTTTGTGTTTCATCTGGTTCACAAACACAACAAGCATTCTGTATGCTATTTCTGGTTCTGGAACCAGCAACTCATGGTTCCAGAATTAGCAAAATGGCCTTTTTTGGCACAATTTTTTATAGCATTCTCAACCATATGGTTAAATGATGTAAGCATGATGTGGTAAGTTATATGGTGTGTTTCATACGCCAATATGGCTCTAATCAAAATGTCTCTATCTGATGAAGACTGTAGATCAAAAGTAAATAGTGAAAATACATGATACTTTTTCAGATTGGTATGGTGTGTCTCACACGCCAATACTCATTTGCAAAAAGAGATTGATATGGTTCTTGAACCATACCACCCTTTTTCAGAACCATGAACCAAATACCACCTAAATTGTAGATTCGTCACTTTTCTTGTGAGCTGTGACATGAAACTTTTAATGGCTACAACTTTTAGGTTGATTTTGGAGTCAATGAAAAGATCATTTAATTACAAATCCAACAACCTTAAGAGCTAACTAAGATCTAATGAAGATGAAGTGACTTGGGAGACTGCCCAAAATATTAACAAATTGTAACGTGATTCATTTTATAGAAGTTCTTATTTAGCTTTATCAGAGCAGTTTCTTTATGGTCAAGATTTTCTAGTAGGAAACTAGGTGTTAGGTTTTGACCATGCCATGATTTGTTAGAAAATATCAACCTATTCAAGGACCTCACCTAATAGTTTAAGCTTTTAGGTTGAATGGTTCTTTGAGATGGTATCAGAGCCATTTTGACCAAGTGGTCTGGTGTTCGATCCTCATTACTCCCATTATAATTAAATAAGTTTCAGCACAAGGTATGGGTGGGTCTGTGCTTGTTCACGATTCAAGCCCAATGGGCTTTCGTGTGAGGGGGAGTGTTAGAAAATATCAACCTATTCAAGGACCTCACCTAATAGTTTAAGCTTTTAGGTTAAATGGTTCTTTGAGATGGTTCAATAAAAGAAATATAACTTGATTTTTCTCTTGAATAACATTAGTTTCTTTTCTTGTCTAGAAATCTTCTAGTCATATGAACTAGAAGAGATTATACAAACTTCAATTAGCAATAATCTAGCTTCTTAGGATTCTAATGCAGACAATGCAGGAATAAATTCTGATCAAATATTCTCAGTTCAAGGCATCCAAAAGACGCTTTTTAAAGTCTAAATAATGACACTGCCAACAAATAAAAGAATCCTCGGTCCTTTGTTTATCACAAGCTTCATCTAGAGAAGACAAAATCAAGAAAGTGAATTTTGAAATTCTTGAAGTTGCTTTGGAAATTACAGCTTAGCCAGCCTGAAATCAAACTCTTCAACAATTTAAGAAGACAAAAAAGATTAGAAAGCTATTCTCTGAGAAAAATTCAGAGGATTTAAATTTTGTAGCTTGTCGAAGGCAATGTCTAACAGATTTAAAACGCAAGAGGAGAAAGGAAAACAAAACTCTTCTAAATTCAGAAGTATGACGCATTGACATAGGTAAAGCTCATGGCACCATGAATACCTATGGGTTTTTTCTCTATCATCTCTTTTTCTGCTCTTTCTTTAACCTATTGATACTACTAGCAAGGATTAAAAATTCACAACATATCGTATTGGTGACTCCCTAATACGCCCTTACGGTATGTGTTTCGGGATCTGACCTGGTTCAGGGGGTAAACGAGCCTTAAACCAACCCCCCTGAACCAGTTTGGAAAAAAACAAACTTAAAAGCGCCCAATGATACAGGCCGATACACCCCAACCAGCATATCGGCCTGTATCGATATTCAAAACCTTGACTACTAGCAGTATCTCTATCTTTCCATAATATGACCATGATTAATATTTAAGAAACACAGATCAGGGAGAGAAGGAATTGCATTGCAAAAAAGATTAATGAATGGACTATAAAGCACAAGCACAAAATCACAGCAAAGATAAGGATGCCATGAAATATGAAACTGTAGATAAGGGAATAGAAAAGCTAATAAAATGATACACACTAAGCTTCATATGTATATCAAAATGAAAGAGAACAATAAATATATTATCCTCTTGTATACTGAAAACTGCATGACAGTAACATCCATCCAATGAAATGAAGGAAATAAATAACCAAAGAGGCCTAGTAGAAGCTATTGTGGCATACTTGCAATTTAAAACTTCTCCAGAGCTGGAATATCCCAGATTGCTAAGTATTACTATGCCATCTCGATCAAGCCTCTCACGTATGTGAGTGACATCTATTTTCTTTACTTCACCTGTTGCCCCAAAGTCAATCCCATTGACAACTCCTCTTTTCTGGTTGGAGAAAAAAACAGGAAGAGTTGCAGACTTAAGTGGTATAAATAAAATATGAACATACCAACACCTGACTAAGGATTTACAAAAGACATTAATCCTATCAAAAGGAATAATGAGGGAGAATTAACAGGATTCAAAGCTCAGCCTAACTAAAACCATTAAAAACACATATAAAATGGTAAGTTAACAAATCTAAAATAAAATGTCTTAGCAGTGTAGGTGTTGGAAGATCATATCATTTTTTGATAGATAACAGAAAGATCAAATCTTGCACGAGAGAAAATTAACAGGATTCAAAGCTCAGCTGAATCAAAAGTCAAAACCATAAACAGCACATCTAAAATGGTAATGCCTTAGTAGTGCACTGACTAGGCTAGGTATTGGAAGATCAAATCTTGTATGGGAGGCACCAGGCCCAGGGCTGAGCAGCAAACATTTTTGAGCTGATGGGCTGGGCCTATGGCCCTCCCTTCCTTTTATTTCTTAAGTTCCCTTATTGAGTAGTGTCTTTAGTTATAGAGGGACTAAGGCCCATATTCTTTTATTTTAGCAGCCACCCCATTAAGGGTTTTTCTGTAATTGTACCTTAGGTTGTGATTAGAGTTAATAAAACATTATTGGGGGCAAGGAGACAGCCATGATTTTTCTTTCCTCCAAACCTTATTTCTTCCTCTTCTCTATCTCTTCTATAGATCTGAATCTTCTTCTACTAATTTTTCTTGATTAAACCACAAGATTTATGCTGTTCTGTTTAACTTCTTGGTATTAGAGTGGTTCCTTTCTTTCTTTTCTCTTGAACCCATACACTCTAGGATCAGTAGAGTGTATGGAGAGGTGAACTGTTGATCATCAAGAAGAGTTGCCACCTAGTTGGTAAGAGATTTTGTAGGCTTTTGATTGCAATTTTGAAGCCCAGAAGGTATTCCTGGAGATCTTGGCCCAAAATCAGAACCAACTAGAGAAATCTGACCTTGATCGTGTTAGGGGTTAATCAAGCGGATTGATGCTGGGGGCTCTGTAGGAGCTATTTGATCTATCATAGAGTGTGGTTGCTATTGACAGAGATCTAGGAACACTACAAGAAGCATTTGCAATTTCTCTCTTCATCCTATGTTGTCAGGTTGATGAAACCCTAGTTTCAACTTTCAAGTGTTGAACTGATTGCAGATCAGTTATTCTAGGTTTGCATACCAGTTTTTTGTTTCTGTTTGTTTTTAAACCAAGTTTTTTGTTCAATGGAGCAGCAATCTAGAGTTGAATCGAAGCAGTACACATAATATGGGATTGGTCAAGCGGGGTCTGCAAGCAATTTCTACAGTGTTGTGACTACAGTTAGACTAGATGCAACTAATTACCTAGAATGGTCTCAATCTGTACAAATCTATGTTTGTGGTAAGTGGAAACTAGGTTATCTTACAGGAAGCAAGAATCAAAATGAGAAGGATCCCACATATGAGAAATGAATGCAGGAGAATTACATGGTTGTTGGGTGGCTGGTGAATTCCATGCAACCACACATCAGTAAGCATTATTTGTGGGATGATTTCAACCAAGTATGGGACAATGTGGTAGAAACATATTCTCATTTCCCAAAAGATGAATGTGGCCAAAGCATATAAATTGAGGAATGATGTGAATAATCTGCAACAAGGGGAAAAACCACTGGCACTGCACTACTCTATGCTAAAATCTTTGTGGCAAAAGATTGATTTACTGGAGATAGTAGTTTGGGAAAGTAATAATCTTTGAATTCTTAATTGAGCCCAACCCAGGTATGACATTACCAAGTAAAATATAATTGAAAAAGATGTTGTGTCATTGTCTATGGTGTATGCTATGGTTAGTTATAAGTAGAGTAGGAGACAGATTCAGTTAGTGACCCTAGCACTATGCCCATGTGAGTGTTAAACCAAAAAGGAATGAAAAGAAGAATGAGAAGGAGATAATTTGTGATTTCTGCAAGAAACCAAAGTATACTAAGGATTACTATTGGAAATTACATCCTCATTTGAAGCCAATCGGATTTAAAAATAATAAAAAGGAAGGAAATGCAAATCTTGCCATAGTACTAGAGGAAGAAAAGGGGACCAGTGAGGATAAATCAATGGTGGAGTAATTGGCTGTTGTGAGAGCAGAGTTTGAGAAATTTGGAACACTCCTCAATCATTTAGAGAGAGGTTGCTTCCAATTCCAGGCAATCCTGCTTCTACAGCCTTTGCACATTTAGGTACTCATAATACTACTAATCATGCAACCATCTCAGGTAATCAATGTATCCCTTGGATAATAGATTATGGTGTTTCTGATCACATAACCAACATTTCCCATCTTTTTAGTACCCATCAACTCAACAAACATAACTGTATTCCCATGTTTTTTTCCTTATTTTTTCTTTACTTAACAACTTCATGTTGTTCTGTACATCTCCTGTTTTCTTTCCTTGCTAAATGCTAATCGGTTCTCCTCTTAGCATGGGCTCATATACTTATACTTAACATATTTAATAAAGCTCTCTAATCATTATTGATAAAAAAGACTCACCTTAGCTGCAAGAAAATTACCCCCTGAAACACGGACACCAACATCATGCCAACGACTATTTTCACCATGCCGGCGAATATTAAATATTGAAGGGCCAGGGGAAAGCTTTGCTTGCATTATATTATACTTAACATATTTAATAAAGCTCTCTAATCATTATTGATAAAAAAGACTCACCTTAGCTGCAAGAAAATTACCCCCTGAAACACGGACACCAACATCATGCCAACGACTATTTTCACCATGCCGGCGAATATTAAATATTGAAGGGCCAGGGGAAAGCTTTGCTTGCATTATATTATAGATCTTCCCAGCTGCTTGCATTGCTGCCTCTAAGGAATCAGAATCCGTAATCCGGTATTGACCAACATATCTGGCCTCTTTTCCTACAAGCAAAATGTTTTAAATTAACTGTAAAATAGCAGACCCAAAGGAACACATCAGCATGAACACGAGAGAGGGATAAAAAGATACAGGATTCCATGATGTAGTTACTACTAATAAAACCATATTACTTGATCCAGCAGGATTCATGTATAGTTGCATACCTCTTCTAGCTCTGTTTCATAGCAATAGATGTTTAAAATAAAACAATCAGAATATTAGAAATATGAAGGTCCAACTTCAAAGTATAATTCAGAATACTTGGTGCTCATCAGGGAGGTGGCTGGAGGGCATTCAACTAAACAAACAACAAAAAATATGCTCCTAAAAAATTCACCTGACATTCAACCTTACTCAATACCGGCCATCAAAACTTGATACATTAACCTAGTGATTAATTTGGTCTTTTCTTCAGCACAGAGTGAGGTGTTTGGCTTTGATCATGTATCTTACTAGCAGTATTTCAAACAATAATGTAGTAAACAGGATTTTGTGTTATCTCAAAAGCTCTCCAATTAAGGGGCAATTGTCTAAGAAGAATGGGTACATGAAAGTTGATGCCTATATAGATGCAGACTGTTCAAGCTCAGTCACTGACAAAAGATCAACGTCTGGGTACTGCAAATTTGTTAGTGGAAACCTGTTTATTTAGAGAAGCAAGAAGCAATATGTTGTGCCTACATGGGGCTTGTTTGTTGCTCTAGCTCAAGAAGCTTCTCCATGAGCTTGGTTATCTGATAGAGGGACCAATGGAGATCTACTATGATAACCAAACTACTATTAGTATAGCATATAATCTAATCCAACATGATAGAAGGATACATATTGAGGTTCAACTAATTAATATTCTCACTAAGGTAGTTGTAAAGTCCAAAATGTGAAATATTCTTAGCAAGCTAATTATGTATGATATTTATGCACCACCTTGAGGTAGAGTGTTCTTAGTCATTGGGACTACAAATTAATGCAATAGAGTAATGTATAGCATCAGGGTATTAATGTGGTGGAATTGTGTTAGTCAAGGTTTCTTTATGAATAAAAATAGAGAGATAGGCACGTAAGTGACCTCCCAATCCTCCCTAATAATAGTTCACTCTTGTTTTCCATCTTCAGTTCTCTCTTTCTCCTCCTTTTTTCAGTCTTCTGCAATCAAATCTATAAAGACAACTAGCCTTATAGCATTTATGACATTACAATGGTATAGTAAAAGAAAGAAAATCAAAATGCAAATTATCCTTCTTGCGCACCATGAAATAGTGGTTATATCAGTGAGATGCCTAAGTAACATAGCACAACTATGGCTACATCAGTCATATAAAGAAAGTCATGGTTCAAAGGTAGAGACCATCATTATAAAATGATGAAATTCAAAAGCAATGAAACTCAGTAGTATGTATTCATTTATAAAGAAAAGTAAGAAGTTAAGCACAAGATGCTTACCTCTCTCCATCAAAAGCTTGTCAATTTGTACATGTGTACCAGGAACAAGAACAAATCTAACCCCCAGGCCATGAAGGAGAGAAATATCCTGCAGAAATATTTTCTAATGCTGATATACAAAGCAGTGAATAAATGACAAATAGCATCCAAACATTCCAAAGTACAGAATTTTATACAGTAAAATATGCAAGCTGTTCAATTATACCTCAGCATTTCCAACTAAGATAATGAGATTCATTTTTTAGAGAGAGGGAGAGAGAACAGTAAAGTAGTTATAAAAAATAGAAAAGAAAAGAAATAACGCTTTATTCAGAGTATGAATTAGTTTTGCATAAATTCCATCTAGTACGTAGTTTTGCCGGCTGACCTGCAGACATCTTTTTCCCGCATCAAAAGGTCTAACAAATGCCTTAACTAGTTTAGTTGGCGGTCCCTATCTAACCACCTTGAAATTACACCCAATCCATTTAATTACGAAATGGTTCTTTTCCTTCTTCTGCGCATCATGACCTTCTCAAAAACATCAGTTCGGAACTGCAGAACATATATATAAGTATCTAACATGGGTAACGCGTGGGAAGATAAAATGATACCCATGTGCATTCGCAATAATAGAGTACTTATTATTTAATTTCTTTATGTTTCCCTTGAACCCTTAGTTTTTCCTCAAGAGAAAAATAAAATCACGTCGACTCGACCACTGTGTATTAGAAATTTTGAATTACAAATTCCCTCACTAAACAGAAACCTGCATGCCACGAACATCAACCCAGAGCTATGAAAATTCAATTTTTAGGGAACTAAGATTACCCTCCACGACATCATAAGCATTAAAAATTAATATTTAGCAGTCAATCAAACAGGAAAAAAAAATGTCTTGTTAAAGCAAGGAAAATGGAATAAGATGATATAATAAGAAAATCAGTATATAGTAGCACACACAGAACTTGCCTTTAGAATCGCATCGAAGTATGAACTATCTACTATTTCCGCGGAAATGACCACAACGAATGTGCTACCTCCGTGCGCCCTAAAATACGGCCAAGCTTCTCGAAACCACCGAACAAACTGCTCTTCCTTCATCTTGTCACGCTCGTCAGTGCTCGAATGATCAGGATCGCCAAATGCATCACAATTGACAGAAATTCTTTTCCTCCCCATAAGACCATAATACCCCAGCGACAACGGGAACTCCTTACTTGATTGGTAGCTTCCACTCCTTCCACTTAAACCATGGGGTAACCGCGGTATCCTACTTTGAATTGATCTGTATTCACTCGATGTTAATATTTCTATAACGTTTTGGACGAAGATCCAGGGACTCAAGCTCGAAGCAACCATTGATGAACGAATGAAAACCAGAGGAGAACCCTAATTTGGTATAGACGTGGCCGGAACACTGAAAAGTAGCAAAAAGACGCCGCAAAGCAAAAAAGAGCGAACCAGAGACGGAAGACGGGAAGAGACTCAACGACTGAAGAACCTCAATGGCTCAATCTAGCGCGTAAGAGTATAGGGCCGCAAGACTGGCTCTTGAAGCACGTGAGGATCGTTTCACGACGAGGATGTATGCATTACTGTTGCGACTTGCGCGGGACCAAGGACTGACGCTCGTCGCCCGCCATGGTTGCGAACTTGCGATTTGCGAACAGTGGAAGTGTGGGGGCCACAAGGAATCTCAGCGGGAGAAAAGTGCACATTGGACTTAGAGATATTTTCTCTCTCTACCATTTCTTACGATTGTCTAAAACCTTTACTACCGTTATCAATAACCGTTCATTGATACATTTTTATCACCCTTTGAGAACCCTTTGATAACGGGTGGGGCGCAGATTTGAACTCTTTGAGAACCCCTAAAACACCCTTTTATCACATAAAATTCAGGGCATCGAGACTGAGAGTGAGACCTGTATACCTCTGTCACCGCTGCACCAGCTATCCATGTGGACTGCATTGATATATGGCTGAGGTCTCATGCCAACTGTCCTCCATGTCGTGCCGGTTCTGTCCAGAATCTCCATTTATTCCATTAATGGCAGCCAGAAGGTGATGCACCAAGACGGAGGATCCCCAAGACGGACTAAGTCGTTGACCACCCCTATAGCATCGCCTTGCGTTTCTTTCTTTGGGTGAGAATCACTTGCTTTTCCCGGTCGGACTTGTGAGGGTGAGTCTTTTAGGCATCGATCCATTGAACGGATGCATAACTCTATAGGTTGTAAGAACAATAACTTACTGGTGTTCTTTGGATTGTGGTCGACCGCCGGTTACAACTTGCATCTAAGGAAACAGACTTGCTAACCTGATTTTAAATAAACACAGAAGGGTAGTGCAGACAAGGGAAAAAGCACAAAGAGATATTGAGAAGAAGGAAAACAAACCCTTCAACAGATGTTTAAGTGGTCCGCTAGGCATATAAACCACCACCATTTGATTTAGCATCCACAGAACTCACCGCGTTGGAGCTGTTGAAATTATTCACACGAGAAATTGATGAAGAGGCATATCCATTGGAAACTGAGCCCTCGCTTTCTGTGTCATTTTCCGGGGAGTGTTTAGAATCCAATTTCACCGACTTGCCATCAAAGCTCTTCTTCAAGCCCATCGGTAAGCATCCCCTTGAAGGGAAGGAAAAATTTTGAGACATACTTGGCCTCTGAGTTCGAGAAAATGAAATTGGAACTTTCCAATTAGCTTGATCCTTAGGTGTTTTAGTGTTCTTCAAGCCATTGTCACGACCAGCTCCAATTTTCTAAATACAGATCATCATATCCATGTCTCCATACGGACCATACCCAATCATTCATCCAACAGAAACAATTCAAAGGAATCAAAGCATGTTAGACCTTACTTTACAGTATTCGACTACTAAATCAGTACTTAGAACTTTCGACCTCCTTCCCATAAGAGTTAATACCTTTAGAAACTCCATTTACTTGTGACATATCTAGACCATTGTCAGCGTTCTCATTTTCCTTGTTTATATTCAAAACTACATTTTCATGGGAGAAGTTTCCTCAACAACACCATTGTCAATGGGAGAGGTTTCCTCAAGCAATAACTAATTGTAAAAGAAAATATAAATAACATGAATTGATCAAGTTGATCGACTCTGCCTTCGCAACCAGACTCTGTAATTAAAATTGAAAATCCCTTTTGGGTTCTTCAATCTTACAAGCAGTTTGGAAAAGTCAGGGGCGACCAGGACGAAGAAGGAGGGCCTGTTGACACTCCTACTACTACGGTCCTGCTAACGCTTTCTACATGCTTTCTAGTCTAGATTTCTGAAACTCTGATATAAAATTTAAAGATGCAGTTTGGAAAGGTTGTTGTTGAGGTTGGATTGGGGGCGGCAACGGCAGACTTAGATCAGAGGGTAGCCTCTTGCTCTTTGTTGATGGACTTCCTCTGAGAAATGCCACGTAGAGGATGAAAGAGGAAAGAGATTGCAGTTTTTCAAAATTTTTATCAGTTAGGTTTTATTTTAAAAATTAGGCTCAGTTAGAAAAGGGTACAGATGCAAATATATAGAATGCAAAATTATGTATTTTATATTATTTTGTATGTATTTGTGTTGTATATATTTGTATTTATACTTTTTCTAAACTGAATCTTAAAAAATATTAAAGGATAAATTTAATATTTTATTTTTCAATGATATATCAATTGTCAGAAACAATAGATATTTTAAAATAATATATAAACAATAATGATAGAGTTAATCAATTAACTAAAGCGGTTTTAACATATAAGGGCAACTTTTTGTCCTAAATATTAATAAAAGATAATATTTTTATAAAATAATAAAAATAGGGTAATTTTTTTTTGAAAAATATCAAAGAAGAGCACTATTCATCGTCTTTCCCTACATCTTTATTCATCCTCCCTACCTCCATGATCTCTATCAGTACAGAGATGCCGCCTTCATCGACCAAAGCGATTTTTGCATCCGATACAGAAATCAAGAAAACTATTTTTTGATTAAAGAGTCGTGTTCGTGTTCGGTGAAGGAAAACCATGGTCGAACACAGCGAATTACAATCAGAGGCAGGCAGGTCCACCGAAGTTTTGACTTCGCTTTTCGGTTGTCTCCGCCTTTGAATTTCGGTGTTCGTGTTCGTGTTCGTGTTTCGGTTTTCCTTCACCGGTACAAAACCCAAGGTCGCCTGCTTCTGCAGGTCTAGCGAGCCCGATTTAAGATCGGAGACATACTGACGAATCAGATCATTGGAATTCTCAGAAGCACAAGCCACCAGGAGGCAACGGCTATGCGCGGAGGTGGTCGGGATTTCACCTGATCGATCAGAATTGGGATTCCTTCAGTTTAAAATGAAGTTGAAGATTCTTTAGAGCGACCTATTTAAGCAAAGACGCATCTGTCGCCCAGCAGTTGGAAAGGGAGATAATTGAGTGTGAAAGAGCAAAGAACAAAGGGCAGAGGAAAGGATGAATAGTGTAATTATCCTTTTTTATATTTTTTAAAAAATATATTTTATTTTAATTATTTTATAAAAATATTATTTTTTATTGATATTCAGAAATTGCCGTTATCTGCAAGAAACCCATAACTAAATTATAAGAATAATTTAAGAATTTTGTTTTTTTTTATTTTTTTTATTTTATATTTTATGATGTGACACTGTAAAGACTAAAAGCTAGGTTTGGTGAAAAAAGAAAAACCCGGAAAGCCGGTTTACATTTTAGTATTTTACAACCTCGTTCAGTCAACGCAGCTCAATCAAAGTTGATGCCCCCGAGGGTTGACATGGCGTTGCTTCACCGTTAAAAAACAGATTTTCTCGTTTTCCTCTTTGTTTTGCTGCAAAGATTTTGCTCATTTTCCGAAGAAGCGAATGACCCCTTCCAAAAACAGAGGAAACGAAACACAGCAGAGTAAATTAGAAAAACAGAGGCGGCGGTGGAAAAATCAAGGATGAAGAGGGCGAAAAGAAGAGAAGACTGCTCTGCCTGCTGTGACGCTTTCCTTTCCTTTTTCTAAATTGCTGGGCAACAATAGACGGTTATAATAAACATGTCCACCGACCGCCCAAAGAGCCCCATCTTCAATTTCTTCATTTTTTATTCAGGGAATCAATAACAATCAAAGTTTCAGAGCGACTGGTCAATTTTTATGTCTCACGATTTCCAGTAATATGCTGACAAAATCCCTTTCCATGAACACCTCTGCATACTCTTATCAGATTTCCACCTTTTTTACCCTGGTCCCATCACTCTAGCGTTCAACTCCAAGGCGAGATATTTTAATCCGCCGGAAACAACTAACAGTCGTCGGAGAACGCGTATCGGGTACGGTGCTATTAAAAATTACAAACTTAAATGGATTTTCTCAGCTATTGAGAACGTATGGGCTGCCGAGTGCCGACACATCATCTCTATTCTCTAATAAATAATTATTCTCTCCGAGGCGATGTCCAAAGGTTTCTTAAGTTTGTTTAACTCACGTACATAATAATTCTCTTCATCTGCTGTAAACTCCTGAGTTGTCAAGGCTAATGCGAACAGTCAAACAACCCCTTGATTCTCGTTCCATGGATAATTAATATCCTCCACACGTTTCAAAGTTTTTACAGTTTAATGTCAACATATTTTGCACAGAAAATCATTAATGGCGGTTTCTTTGCTAATAATTTCGAAAAGGAAAACATAAGTAGGAGAAGCACAGAGCGGGGAGAGATGAGTACCTTCAGAATTGCGTCCAAGTGTGGACTTTCGACAATTTCTGCTGAAATCAAAACGATGAATGTGCTACATCTATGCGCAATGAAGTATGGCCAAGTGTCCCGCAGCCAGCGAACGAACAGTTCTTGTTCCTTACCTAAACTATTACGGCCGTCGACGTGATTCTCCGTTTCACTGCAGACCAGATTGTAGTTCTCGGGAGAGCCTCTCCTACTCTTACTCAACCCATTTTCAGGAGAAAGAGCCACTGCTCTTATCCCCTGAAGCCTCCCAAAGCACTTGGTGATCGGACCATCGCAGCATAAATCACATTTACGACAACCGAACGTCGGGTTCTTCTCGGCGAAAGCCAAGATTTCTCTATGATTATGCAGAGAAATCCAAGGCCGTGAGGTGGAAGCGGCCATTATCAGTCGAAACCCCAAGCGATCGAGTAGAAAGAACAGACAGGTTGAATGTTGGAAAAACGAAAATGCGGCAAAAAGAAAGAGAGAGTGGGGGGATGGGACGACGACACTTTAGAGATGTTGGAGAATCTGGAGAAGGACAAGTGTCTTATTACTTTAACTAACTAAGGGTCCTCGTTTAAGGTCAAAAAGACACGTAAACAGAAGGCCACAGAGTCGCCATGGATGAATCAAAGAGACAATTGTATGTGCATGACCCACTCTCAGCTAAAGATCTTACATTTTTTGTCTGTCTGTACCACGAGAATGGTTATCGTCAAAAAGACCCTGATTTTTTAATTTCCACTATTGCCCATAACAGTTCAGAACAGCGAAGAGCGAACCAACGGCCAGTACAACATTGCTATTCTAAATTTGAATAGTCGATGATGCCCCTAGCGGTATGAATGTATCCGGACTTCGACCATAATCATTGATTTCATGGTAAATTGTACATCAGAGTAAAAACAAGGCAGTTATCAATCGAGAAGACGTGGGGATGACAACAAATTAATCAGACCATTATGCCAAAATAACCCAAACTTAAAAGGATCAAGAACATATAAGATGGTCTATCTCGCTAAGACTATTAGTCGCTTTAGGCTTTAGCAGACGGACAACAAACTATTATCTCTTATGCGATCATATGCCTTCAATAATAATGATTCTAGAGGCATCTTTTATTTCTTCGGATGGCATATTCCAGTTATCAGTTTCATGCACGTACAGAGAATTATCCAGTGTTCACTCTTACCCAGCATCATATCGATCTTGTTCTTCTTGGCTTGGCCGCAGTTCAAATCCAATCGTCCCATGTGAAGAGTGAGGTGAACACCGTTTGGATAACTAGTATCAATCCATAGAGCAATTCTGCCACTTCCAGCCAGGGTGGCGGACTGGCGGGGATAACAACCATTCTGCCAGCAGCAGCTGCCGTGGAAAAGTACTTGAATGGGGAAAAGCCGAAAAGGTTACACCAAAACAAAAATGGGAGAATGACGGGTCAGAATTTTTTAGGCCCAAAGTATAGTTGGGTAGGTGTCAATGCCTATAGAGTGGGGGTATTCCACATTTTGAATGTTTATAGATGGAATTCATAAATCTATATTGGGCCTGTCTTTACTTTTTCAAATAAATAGTTAGAGTGCAAAAGAAAAAAAGGCAAAATTCCCAAACCCAGTACTTTGGGCTTAGTGTCACTTTCTTTGGTCTCTCAACTTTAAAATGTGACATTTCAATATTGAAACTTTCAAAATGTGTAAATCCAATATTACCATTAATCAGTTGTTAACTGGTTGTTAAATAACCTTTGGAAAAAACACAAATCAAGTGTCATCTAATTTTCTTTATCAACCATTCAAACATTGACAAAAAATTAAGTCCTAAATCCTTACTTCTTTTATTTAAGAAAGTTTGAGTCTAGGTTGCCCAATGAGATGTGATCCCAACTTTCTTAAATAGAAGTAAAGATTTGGGATTGCTAATTTTTTGTCAATGTTTAGATGGTTGATAGAAAAAATTAAATGACAATCAAAGGGCATTTGTGTCTTTTTTTCAAATGTCACTTAATGGCTGATTAATAGTTGGTTAATGATAGGTACTGAATTAACACGTTTTAAAAGTCTGAATAATGAATTGTCGCACTTTAAAGTTCAGGGACCAAAATTGCACTAGACCCAAAGTACAGGGTACTAATCAGAAATTTTCCAAAAACAAAAAACAAAAAATTGTTATTATTGTTAAAACAATGAAAATAATCACTGGAGTATTTCAGTTCTTTACTCTCATTTGTATTTTAATTTGCTAGAAGTCATTACCCTTATTCTACCAAATAGCACATTTATTGACTACTCCCCCTCATAAATTTTTGTTGTTTTTTTAAAATGTATTGTCCTAAACAGGCAAACCCCACCTATGCTATACAATCCCCTTGAATTGTGATAAATTTTTCTACTTGTTTCCAATTGTGCAAATTCGTAAAAATTTATGAGTGGACTGAACAATAAAAACCTCTACTCTAGATATAAAATCCCATTAGAGTTAGGGCTGAAAATTATGAAACTAGGGTTGAGTCATGATTGAGGAGGCAGTTTTTGTATTTTTGCTAAGGGCGTTTGGATGAGCATGACGCCTTTTGTGGATAATATATTGGGAACAAAACAGATAAATATTGTGGACAGATCTGATTTTGAAGATAAAACGTACAACCAGTAAGGCCATGTTTGGTTTGAAGGAAAAGTAGGAAAATCTATACAAGGTTTGTAAAGGTTTCCCTACCTTTTCCTTCAAACCAAACATAGCAAGAGCTAAGAAAGATGAATTCGAAATGCCAATTTATTTGG